GGTGCCGTTATATGACGCTTGATTGAGAACGCTAGTTGGTGTTTATGAAAAATACAGTATTCCCCCCCCTCCCCCCACTTGCTATCTTTAGTTCTCTTATCCGTCTGAAGAGCTCTCCGTCTAGTGTCACAGGCCCGATCCAATAGATAACAACAGGATTTTGGTGTAGTACAGTTGATAATAATGAACAAAAGTTAATACTAATAAAAGAATAACAGACAATGAACTAATAACAACGAAGAAGATGGAATGCAACGATATAAAGAATATTACACACGTGTGTCTTCACTCCACCGTTATAACTATTCTGACCAAAGACAAAAAAACTAGTATATATATATATATATATATATAAGGAGAAAAGCGGACGAACAAAAAAGAGAGAACGTTAAGTTGACCTTTCAGTCCTATAACACACATATCACACAGACGAAGAAGAACAGAGAGGAAAGAAAAGATGATCAACTTGTTTTGAAGAAAATAATCAACTTTAACTATCAAACGAAAACCTCTAATAATACCACCTTTAATTATAGATTCAGCTGCTTCATTGTATTTATACACCATGCAAATTGGATCACCATACTCATTTTCCGCTGGATTCAATAAATTAATAATGTACAAGAAATGCGATAAACTTGCACAATCTTCATTAATATCAGATATTTCTTCAGCAAGAGGTAAATAAGGTGTGGGTGCTGCTAATAGAAATCGACCAAATAGACCATCGCCTTCGTTGTCATTTTTTACAGATTCAATTACTTCGGATGGATGGCCCGCTCCAGCTATCTGAAGTATTGCATTTTTGATACTGATCGGTGATTTGACAGTCTGCCTCGTATTACCTGATTGGTGTTGTATAAAGTGTTAATTATGCTTCTATCGTAGGCTGCTTTCTCACTACGATAGAGACCAAACGAACTAATAAGGGTATTTAGCTCATCCCACGGTTGGAATAGACGACATGATGTTTCTTTCATCTCATTCAGAAGACTTTCTATAGTCGCGGAATTATTGATATATGGCTTGTCTATTTCAATGCCAAGTAACTTTTCGACATCCATACATGCAGAACGAATGATATCGACCGCCATGCTTTTAATACTACCCGGATAGCCGATTATACTAGTATAAAAGCTGATATTCGTTCTAACACCACCTGTACATACTACTTGAGCGTTGTTAACGTGATGGTCGATAGCTGGTAACAGTATGGTGAACAAATAGGCATGTGGTAGCTGATAGGTGCTACAAATATTTTCAATTATTCTTGTTGTTCCTTCATCGAAAAACTGATTCGCATTCATTGGTATTCCACCAGTGGTCCGCATAAGAGTTCTCATTTGTTGAGATGTAACCTTACCAGACGTCATTATTCGGTTTTAGAAGAAAAATCAAAGCAAAGCAAGACTTTAAAGGTAAAGAAAGATAGTTGTAAAATAAATCGTAGAATGAGTTCAAATGACTGATTATTTCTTTGTTTTATCGATTATACACATAGCGTAAAATGATCTTTTTCTTTCTGATTTTGTATTTGTATACATATGTCGGATATCAATCAGTAATAGTTCAAGAGAATACATTATGTGTAGTCTACTGAGTAATGTTCAATCAGTTGCTTGCTAACCACTATATCTATATACTTCTCATTGATTTCTGTTCTTTCATCGTGGATCATATGTCACATCACGCATATAGTGTTATATGTGTATAGCGAAGCATACTAGTATTGTTGCTTTACTTTTAAGATTAGATATTTGAAATAGAACTAATTGTAAAACTGTTGTTGAATCTTTGAAAATCCTTCGAAAATAGGTAAGCATAGTTTTTTAGAATTACAGAATTTTCTCTTCTTTTGCATATATCTTTAAAAGTGAATAAGAGATGAATCAAGGTAATTCACCACGATCGACAGATCGCATCTTCCCTCTGCCGTCAGTTGAAGTGGCGTGTACACTTCGTCATTTGAGCAAAAAAATTCATGAGTTTGTCCCGAGACGTTTTTTTCATATTACTGCTCTATTGAATAAACTTTTTGGTCTTGCAATGTTTGAGCATGATAAAAAATTATAATTGATAATTGGATTATTCTCTTGCCAATTTTTAATGATAATATTCTTGGAAAAAGTGAGAAAGAAATCGAGGAAACGATTAAAAACTATTGTCTCAATTTCCCTCAGAAGCATATATCTAGCTTAATGAGTACATTTATCCCCTCCGACACCAATTGTGGTGTAATGAATTGTAATAAAACAGCTTTGAGTGAACCGGTACCGTATCAGGATGTACACGTATTCTACCTCGATAAAGGAAGTGAAGACGGAACATTATATTTTAAAAAATGTCCAAAATGCAAAGCAATTTATTATTATAATTTCACTTTACTAAGTAACGGTGAACGAATAAGTTCTTTGAAAACCGACAACGATGTCGTTCTATGGTTCGCTAATGTTGGTTATCATAAACGACTTATGCGTCAGTTAGATTCCGATATTTTACATAAACATAGTGGTTTTTCAAATTTTGCTAATGCCGACAATTATTTTTGCGAGAAAACAAATATCATTAATCGAAAACCAATGGATAGGATACACCTTGAAAAGACGTGGCTTTTTTGGCGATTAACCCATTACTTTGATCGTGAGAACATAAATTTAGCCACCCCAGCAAGTTTTGAGTTTCATTATACTCTAATGAATCTGCGGGAAGTCTGTCGCACCGTGTTCGTCAGAAGATGGAGCAGTAAAAGCCATTCTAGGTATTGTACTAAAGATTGCAGCCAACTTCTCGTTCTCGATGGACATCAAAAAGCAACCAGACGAGTCTGTTCAGTCAAAGAACTTACAACGCCAAGTAGAGAATTAGGAACGGTAAAAGTTGGGTGCCATCGTACTCCAAAAAGAGGAGAAAAAAATTGTCATGAGCATATTTTTTTCCAAGAACCCCTTACAATACCTTTGGTGAAAAAAAAGAGAAAAACGTATAACTCGCGGAGAAAGAAAAAACCAATAAGAGCGACAAGATTTCTAACATGTCGTACATTAAAATCAAAAAATCAACAACGCTTTTTGCATCGAACATCTGGCATAATTGCTGCAGTTTATAACTGCGGATATATTTGCGCACTTCAAGAACTGTACGGTGCAGAAAGTATTTCACAGGTGTATATGTTTTTAGTTCAGATAGTCAACGAATTTGAAAATACACCTACAGTGTTAGCTTATGATGATGCTTGTCATCTCGTATCATTTATAAAAAATGCTAAAAATTTTGAACGAAGAACGGCTGCTAGGAAACGAATTGACAACATGACTATTGTATGTGATAAAATGCACTACAAAAATCATGTTGATCCACGGTGCAGAAGAAATTGCAGTCCTTATAACCATGAGATTGCAAAAAGGGTTAATACGGAGGTTTGTGAACAAACTTTCAGCTGGCTTTCGCAATATCGTAATATTGTACGAGGCTTTAATGAGTCAACTTTTTTGATATTCATCTGTCTTATTTGTGATCTTCGGAATAATTAAAAACTGGAAAGCGCAAAACAAAACAAATTACTTACTACTAGTAATAAATGATACAGAACAAGATTTATTCTATGTAAAACGTGTACAGAAAATAGCATATCCTTTTTTTTCTTTTTCTTTAATTCATACCGTAAGTGTTATCATCTTATTCAATCATACGTATTACTACAGATATAGGCAAATAAGAAACAGATTCTAACATAAGCTAAGAAATTTGTCATGGTCAGTTTATTTACAGATGTGTTCTGACGCTTGTTCATCTAACGATGAATTTCGTAACTAGATCTTCCATGGGTTGAGTCATTAGAATCATGCAATAGATTACATTTCTAGAGTATTTATTAACCTTCTTAGCTGATAAGCGAGTGGTAGGCCTCCACCCCGTGTTAAGCGCTTAAGAGTATATTATCGTCCATTTCAAATTTCTTCGTTATAAGTCGAGATTAATACAAAAAAAGCTCAGAAAAACAAGAAAAAGAGAGAAAGTTTCAGAATGAGAACAATAATAATAAACCAATACCAAACAATAAAACAAGGGGGGAGATGCACCAAACATTTACCACAAACTTAAGGGTCAAGATTGGCAATTTGTTCGTTATACAGAAAACAGAAAACAATGAAGTAAAACTGAAATTAGTCGTTAAAGAACCCGCAAAACCAGATGTAACTGGAAACAAATCTGGTTCAAATCAAGAAAATCCACGAAACAAGTCAAAATCAGAAAAAACCTGGTATGTTTTCCTAAATAATCTACTCCGTATATTAGTTTATCATTGTCTTTCCTTCCTTTAGGTGTTTATGTTTGTTTGAAACAAAACGATGAAATCAAAGCCATTGTTAATTATTTCCTATGCACATTTCAAGAAAAACAGATCTTCCCAAACGCAGCCCATTGTTATCACCAATTTGCACAACAACATATTGACATTAGTCATGGACGAATCAAAAGTGTTCGAAAATTCATGCAAGTAGTAAACAGCAAAGTCCTAAGAAAAATTAACTGCCATAGTTCCTTTTTTATTTTATAATTCAAACAAAATCCATTTGAAACATGAAACAGCTAAAGACAGTTGTTCCATTACCTCTTCTTTTTCTAAACGGTAAGGACGAAAAGAATAGTAGGAGGAGTGTGCTTACACTTCGATTTTCAAGGAACGAGGCGAAGGACTTCTCGAATTGTCCTATGCATCTGAAACCGCAAATCCGAAATGCAATATTTCGCTTCTCTATCATGTTATAACTGACGTATCTTTATCATTTTAGTTGTTCATATGGTCGAGTGTCCACACAAGATGAAGAAAATGATACAGCTGTACACAGGTAATAACAGATTTTGAAGGAACGCGGAGAAACCTTTGTGGATTGACCCAATGCAGATGAATCGACAAAACCGAAATACAATTTTCGTATATGTAGAATATTTCCCTTTTTCTTCATCTTATAACTGATGAATCTTTTTCATTTTAGTTCTTCTTCTAGTCGATTTTCCACAAAAGATGGAAAAAGTGATACAAATATGAAGAGGTAATAAGAGATTTGGAATGAAAGAGGGGAAAGCTTTGTGGATTTACCCTATGCAGATGAATCGAGAAATCCCACATCGGCTTAAACGCGCATGACGGAATTACATTTTTTCAACTTTGAGCTCTGTTTCTCCTCAAATACTGACCAAAAGATGACGAAATTTCTATCAGAGATGTGCGATAGAATGCTTGGTTTGTGGTAAAAATTTCGAATGAGTCGGTTAAGTAGAACGGTTTTTATGAGCAAAATAGGTGTCGTGACTGAATTACATTTTTTAGCCTTTTTTTCTAGTACTCTACAAACTTTAAAAAATGCTCTAAAACGAAATATATTCAGAAAAAAAGTCTAATATAAAAGTTGTAGAGCATAAAAAGAGCTTTCGAATCATCTCTTTACTTTCACTCAAAAATGCTTAAATGAAAAGCAACAAGCGAAATGGCTCCGTGACGGAATTACATCATTTTTTTGCTTTCTTTTGCGGTGGGTTTTATCGTTATATTTCTACCGGTAAAAAAGACTTCTATAAACTTGATCTGCACGGAGCCTTATGCAACCGAGTGCCCTCTATCAAACTAAGCAAAAAAGAACGGTGGGAGAAATGTGTTTGATTTTCGTAGAATTGCTCCAAAAAAAGTACCATTTCGAATTCGGCAAAAAATCGGCAAAAACCAGCAAAAACTTGTTTAGTGTGCAAAATGCGTTCTTTAAAATTGTTTCGACAAAGTCAATAGTGCATTTAGTAGAGAATTTAATTCTTTATCCACTGATATACTTTCTGAAACTTTTTAAAAACTAAGTAGGTCAGAAAACTTAAATAAAAAAACTTTTAAATTTTAAATTTGAATTCTCGATTTAAGAATTTGAGTTTAGTTCGTTTTAAAGTTGATATTCGTCATCAGCGCAAAAAACTGCGTCTAATGATGTGCTTTTAAGGCTGGTTTGACAGAAAAAATATCACACAACCCACCGCAGCTGAGGGCGACAGTTACGCGTTTTAGCAGAAATGCAATATTTCACCTGTTTTTCATCTTATAACTTACGAATCTTTTTCATTTTAGTGGTTCACCTGGTGGAGCACCCACAAAAGATGAAGAAAATGACACAAATGTACACCGGTAGTAAGGGATTTTCGTTGAAGGAGGAGAAAGATTTGTATTACAATATTTCGTTTCTTTTTCATCGTATAACTAATGTATCTTTTTCATTTTCGTTGTTCACATGATCGAGTGTCCACAAACGATGGAAAAAGTGATACAAATGTACACAGGTAATAAGAGATTTTTGAATGAACGAGGACATTGATTTATCGACTTGTGCTATGGAGATGAATCGACAAACCCGAAATGCAATATTTCGCTTTTTTTTCGTCTTATAACTGTTGAATCTTTTTCATTTTAGTTCTGCACCTGGTCGATTTTTCACAAAAGATGGAAAAAGCGATAAAAATGTAGAGAGGTAATAAGAGATTTGAAATGAACGAGGAGAAAGCCTTTCGGATTTACTCTATGCAGATGAATCGACAAACCCGAAATGCAATATTTCGCTTTTTTATGATGTTATACCTAATGTATCTTTTTCATTTTAGTTCTTCACGTGGTCGAGTGAACACAAAAGATGAGAAAAGTGATACGAATGAAAACAGGTAATAAGGGATTTTCATTGAACGTGGAGAAAGCTCTGTGGATTAACCCAGTCCAGTTGAATCCACAAATCCGAAATGCAATATTTCGCTTCTTTTTCGTCTTATAACTGATGAATGGTTTTCAGTTTAGTTGTGCACCTGGTGGAGCGGGGGGTCAGTAACAAACTATATGTCGTAGGCGCAGGTGTTAATCGTTGTTCTTATTTTCTGTTTCGTTTCAGAACCAAAAGCAGAAAGGTTTAAAAGAAACGAGGTGGAGAAATTGAAAATATGGTGCATTGTTGAACCAGGGTTGAGACGTCCATAAACGTCGTTTTTTTTATTTGTTACAGTATCACTGTTTTTGTCATTTTTTTGTTGTCATTTTTTTGTAAAAAATTGTCTTCCCTCGAGGGTTCCCGGATTTCAACTAAACCAGCTATATATGAAATATAAATCATTCAAGTATGAAACCCAGCTTCTTCGTGCCTATTTCTTTCATATTGCTAACAGAGTAAGTTCTTCAAAATATGCTAATATATACGTCTATATTTCACGAAATATATCTGATAACAGCATTGTGATGATCGATCCACCCTGTATCGCACACAAAAGTTTCTTCTTGAAATTGTCAAAGCCAGCTTTTAACCTTAACATAATGGGCACGTAGATTAAGTGATGGACCTTAAAAACTAACAGAAGTTTCTTTTCTTTGTTGATTTATTTCAATAAAGAGACATATAAGGACGTCGTTATATTTGTACGCAGCCTATGCGATGCAGGACGGTCAGTTAAACAATGGTTAACGGCCAGTTAATGATCAACCAGAAAACGGCACCATAACGGTGGAAAAACGTTCCGTTAACATCACCATAAACCGCCCGTTTTCACAACGTTAACTGACGGTCCAATAACAGACCGTTAACGATTGTTTTGCTTAATGGCAAACTTTGTTCCACTTTAATGGGCCATTTCTATATCGTTTATTGCCGTTGTCCAAGCCACAGCACAACGTTTCGTTACTGAGAAACCTTGTGGCTACGAATGGTTCCATTTTTGGCACTGGTGTGGCGACATCTCACAAACCATGCACGAAGGAGCTAAACAAAAAATTGCGTCACCATACTTTCACAAGATCAGCATCTCCTAAAAGTTTGGTCAAGATTGGACTTATACTACGTTCAGATATCTGTTATGCTTATTAAAGACATTATTTCACCTAGGAATGCGTCGGATATTCTTATTTTATATGTAGCGCATCAGTGATCATAGCAAAACAGGTCACTTTTCCTGGGGCTGGTTTACAAGAAAACGGAATGCATCAATCGATGGGGAATTTAACGAGGATCCCAGATATGCTACCCCTTTTCCTGGACAACT